CCATTTTGTCAAGTGAGGAGGAGGAGGAGGAGGAGGAGGAGGAGGAAGCGGCCGACGCTGGGCCCTCGGCGCGGCGCGCCCGGCCCGGTGAGTGCCGGCCGGTGTGGTGGCTGCGGGTGCCTGCTGCCCTAGTCACCGTCTCTGGGGCAGACCCGCGTCTTGCCCGGGAGCCCACATGGGCCGGGCCCGGAGCGCGCCCTCCTGGAGCCCGGGTCCTCCGGTTTGGGCCGGGGCCGTGCGCCGGCGCCTCCGCCCCTGTCCGCCTACTGTCTGGTCGGCCCCGGATCTCTGCCAAGAGCGGAGCTCGTCCTAGCCGGAGCGAGGTCGTTGGGGCCGCGTGGCTGCCCAGGACAGGCCTCTGCGTTCGGGAGTAGGATCTTGGGTGGCAACAGCCTGGCGCTCTTGTTCTCCTGTCCACCCTAGCTTCGCAGCCCCTTGCAAGGCGCTTTGTTTTGCTCGGCCGGGGCTCACTGGCTTGCTTGCAAAGGCCTGGCTTATTTGCGGTGTATGTGCATGTGGGTTTGGGTGGGGATGGGAGGGAGTTGTGATTCAGCGAAATAAAATGACATTCCTCCCCCCCCCCCCCCCAATCGGAAATAGCACAACTTCACCCAAGTGAGATGCCCCCGAGGCCCGGCCTGGATGGAGCCGGGAAATCCCACTGTGGTGTAGTGGACGGTGTAAATAGTTCTCCCTGGGCCTGAGTCATGTGTCTCTGCCGAGCGACTGACCTCTCTCACTCGAGACCACGCTTTGTCTTTGCTAGTGTTATTTGTTTACTTGTTGATTCGCGTGTGCTTCCTGCAGCCTGGTAGAGTTGTGGGTGGTGGTCCTTGAGTTCCTTTCTGGGCGTGTGTTGGATGCAAGAAGTGATCTCTTGGAGTGTGCTTCCTAAGACTCTAAATATCTTTCTCCTATTGGAAGGGACTCCACTATCCTGTCGTTACAAAAACCAAATGCAGTGTATCTCTGTGCCGGTAGCTCTTTGGTGCTGCAAGAATGGTTTGGGAGATTTTTATGAATGGGGCTGTCAAGTTCCCTAAATTGGTAGTCCTTGGAATTTGTGGTCCTTGGAAGGTGTAAAGAAAGTGGTCCTCCAAGGATTTATGAATTGTGTTTTCAGTTTCAAGAAGATTTTGTATGGCAGTCTGTTTTATGACCTTGCCAAAACTAATTTCATAAACATTTCTTCCGGCTTAATTTGGATGGAGGTTATCTTCCAGGGAAAGACAAACCACACAGATGATTTCCATTGACTAAATTGAGAGGGCAGACCCTGCATCTTAACCCTGTTATTCACCATACCCCTTACCAGGGTGGGAAACATAGTGTTTAAGGGCTCAAGCTGTGGATTAAATGAATTTAAGATGATTTTGTTGGTGTTAGCTGGAGGATGACCCCGCCTCTCTGTATCTTGCTAAAACTCGTGGCAGCAGAATGGTTGATGATAAGAATTTTGCCCAGCTATGAAAGGTGGACATGGCTGCCATGTAAATGTAAGGCTAGTTTGGCTGTTCTGGGGAACAGATGGATATCTCTAGCTTCCCTAGCTGGGAGGGTGGGAAGAAGAAAAAAAAAAAAAAAGCTAAGAATTACAAGCCAATCATTATTGGCCATTTAGTAAAATTTCCACTAAACTATTGAATTGCTTAAAGGAATTTAGACTTTGTTTCCAAAAGTTACCTTTAAGCATGTTGTGTGATCTTTGTACTAAATTGCCTTTTGCTTTTGGGGGTGTGTACAATATTTTCATGTTACACAATTCTGGTTATTGAATGACTTGCGATTTTAGCGGAGGATTGGAGCCATTGTCCCCCCCCCCCTTTTTTTTTTTTTAAAGCAAAAACCATTTGACATCTAAGTGATTTGAAGACATCAGGTTGTTAAATCTTCTGACAACCTGCTGTCATCTGTCACTTACCGTATAGATGTAAAGTGTTCCTATTTTTGATTTTTAATAAACTTCTGAAGTAGACTGTGTTTGTCTTTTCGTTCCTTGTAAACCTATTTAAAAAAAAAAGAAAAGCTTATCATTGGAAACTGCTTCTAATGTTTCATAAATCTTTGCAATTTTTTGTGTTAAAAAAGGCTGTGAATTGCAAAGTGGGAATTGAGGGGATTCTTTGTTAAATGCTGACATTTTCTTTACAAGAGCCAACCAAAAGTAACATCCATATGACAACAAGACATGAATTTGTAAAAATAAAATTTTCTTACTTTGATTTTTTTTTTTAAACTGAAATGAAAGTTCCTTGAGGGCAGGATTTTGGTTTTGCTTTGCCTGTTTTAGTCTCTGTTGTGTCCTGGTGCCTAGAGGAGCACCTTAAGTAGTTGTTGAATGAATAAACTGGGGAAATAATTAAGCAAGAATTAGGAACACCTGTTATAAAACAAAACCAATCCAGTTGTCATCAAGCCAGTTTTGGTTCATGGCGACCCCGTGTGTATCAGAGTAGAACTGAACTCCATTGAGTTTTCAGTGGCTGATTTTTCCGAAGTAGATTGCTCTTGCCAGGTCTTTCTTCCAAGATACTTCTGGGTGGACTTGAATTGCCAACCTTTTGGTCAGCAGATGAGTACATTCACTCTTAGTGCCACTTGGTTACTCCATGTCCATAGTAATCCCATATGCAAATAATTTATCTTAGGTTAACAAAGTATTGTTAGTGGTCGATATAATTGGTCAAGGGTGACTTACAAGATTTATGAATTTTGACTAAAATATTATTAACCAGACCCATTGCCATCAGGTTGATTCTGACTTACAGCTATCCTGTAGGACAGGGTAGAACCTACACCATAGGGTTTCCAAGGCTGTAAATCTTTATGGAAGCAGAATGTCACATCTTTCTTTATGGAGTGGCTGGTGAATTCAAACTGCTGACTTTCCAGTTAGCAGCTGAGCGCTTAACCACTGCACCACCAGGGTTAAGGACCCAGACATTGAAGTGAACTTAACTGGTGGTCTCAGCAGCATGGTTGTGACTTTGGTACCTGGGTGGGTTACTGTTCAGCACTGCTTGGGGAAAATATTTTTGAGTGTGAAGTGAAGAGGTAGTAAACATTTGGATAGCATTTCTTAATTAGAATTTCACGTTGTCAATAAAAAGTTGATCACTTTTTAATACTGAGCTTATTCTTTTTAACATTCTGATTTCATATGTGTGTGATTGGTAGTCTGTCTCAACAGTTAGACCCTGAACACCTGTTACATACCAGGTGAGACAAAAAAGGTTTTGTACAATAACTTTTTTGGGGGGTACATATATTTTTTAGTTTTTTCATTTTTATTGTGATTTGGGTGAAAGTTTACAGGGCACATTCTTTCCCACATGGCAGTTTATACACATTTTGTCTCATGACACTGATTGCAATTTCCTACAATGTAACAGTTCTCTTCCCACTTTCCCTGTAGTTACCTCTTTCCTGTGTCCTTTTCTATGCGTTTCTGCCTCCTGATGGGTATATATGTTCTTGGCATATTGATGGATCCATCCCACAAACATTTGTTGAATATTAATTATACGTAATTAGCGTAGTGCCAAGGCACTTGACTGCTAACCAGAAGGCTGGCGGTTCAAACCCACCAGCCACTCCTCCGAAGGAAGGTGGGGCAATCTACTTCCATAGTGATACTGCCTCGGAAACCGGAGGAGGGGTCACTATGAGTCAGTCCCACTCCATGGCATGTAACAACAACAATTGCTATTATTGTAAAATCCTATCAAACATTAGTTTTAAGGTTTTGGGTTTTTTTTTTTTTTGTAACAGCTTTATTGAGAGATGGCTCATTTACCATACAACTCACCTATTTAAAGTGTATACAGTTTATTGGTTTTTAATAATTTGCAGAATTGTGCAACCATCACCATTTAATTTTAGAACATTTTCATTACCCCAAAAAGAAACACTGTGTCCGTTAGCAATTCTTCATTTTCCTTGCCACTGGCTTCCACAAATGTATTTTCTGCCTCCGTAGGTTTGTCTGTTCTGACCATTTCAGGAATCATACAATATGTGGTTTTGTGTAAGTAACTTCTTTGATTCAGTGGGATTCTCTTGTATCACTAGTATCTCACTCCTTTTTGTAACTTCAGGGATATTTTATTGTATGAATTTGCTACATTGTATTTATTCATTTATGAATAAATATATAAATGGGTGTTTGGTTGTTGCTGCTTTTTGGCTACTGTAAATCTCATGCTGTTATGAATATCTCTGTTCAGGTTTTTCTTGTGTGTGGGAGGTGTATGTTTTCATTTCTCTTGGGTAGATACCTAAGAGTGGAATTGCTGGGTCATACAGTAGCTCTGTATTCATCCTTCTGAGGATGCACTTTGACTCCTCTAGGGCTTTCACAGAGAAGCCTGGGAACATGATGTGGCCAAGGAAATGGAAATGTGGTAGTACTGTCTACAGAACAGGATCCTCTTCTAGTTTTTAAAAATTACACATGCCTATGGGACAGTTTGAAATGCTTGTTGGGCCTAGAAAACAGTCTAAAGATGCACTCTAAATTTGTATTGCTGTTAATTATAAACGGGGATTTTTAAAAATACATGATTTTTTTTTTTCTGGAAGTCTGAACAGGTTTATTGTGTGTGGTCAAGTGGATTCCGACTCTGAACTGCCCTGTAGGGGTGTAATCTTTACAAAAGCAGATTGCCAGGCCTTTGTCCTGCAGAGTTGATATGTGGGTTCAAACTGCTTACCTTTCAATTAGCAGCCCAGTGATTAATGGTTAAGCCATCAGGACTCTTACAGAAGTGTTTACAAACCTTGCTAAAATTCCTTTCACTTGTCCTGGTATAAATCAGGGGATGTAGTTCATTCTGAAGTGGATGGAGAGTATCAGGGTTCAGGCAGAGCAGCCATCTGTTCCAGGCGGGACCTACCCTTGAGGGGGACGAGCATTGGTTAGTCTACACTATTTGAAAATGAGATGCTAAGGATTTTTTCTTTAAGCAAAAATAGTATGTACTCCTTTGGAAGAATTTGGAAAATAAAATTTTTCAAGCTAACAAAATGTTAATTATCAAAAATTATTCTTTCCCTTGTTTTTCTTTCCGACTTTTTTCTATACATGAGTTACAAAATTAGATTGTACTCTTAATTTAAAAAAAAAAATGTGTAAGCATTGAAGTGATTTTAAATGGCTGCCTAATATCCTATCATATAAATATACCATAATTTAATTCTGCTACTTTTGGATATTTGATTTTTTTCTTTTAAAAACACAACTTTTTTGCCCTTTTTTCTCATTTTTAATATCTATAAAGACAACTGGTACATCACAGGGTATGTATTTTTGAAAACTTGAAAGAAATGATTTTTCTAGAAAAAGTACGTAATTTCCGTTTCTCCATCAGTTTTA